TTAGGCCCCTCTCCTCTTATTACTACCACTTTTTCCTGAAACCTGACAATCATAATCAGAAACCCGGTATGCTGTCCGTCTTGCTTGACTGAGCTGAAACGGTGTTCAGTCCAAACGGTGCGTCTAAAACTCCCCCTCTCTCTCTCTCTCTCTCTCTCTCTCTCTCTCTCTCTCTCTCTCTCTCTCTCTCTCTCTCTCTCTGTTTGATATTTCTAGTGGGTTCCTAGAGACTCTGTATGCCTTTGTATATGAGACTCTCTGCATAGTATAGAGAGAGAAAGGAGGCCCCATTCTATCTCTCTATGTCATTCAAATAACTCTATCCACTTCTCTGTTTATCTCAAATTTGTGCACGTATGTGTGTGTCTATATATTACATTACAGATGGAGTATATATATATAATGCTTATGCAATATTCTTTGACTAAAATATCTTTTAAAAAGACTAAATGTTTTAGCCTATTTAGTCTGGAAGGGGCTTGCTTGCACTATTTTCAGTGAGTTCTCTCAATTGTCCCTCTTTCTTATAGCTGAAACTAGGTTTATAATTAACTTTGATTCGTTCATGGCCACTTTGCGTATATTCAAATGTGCCTTATGCCTTAATTGGGGAAGAGATGGACAATTTTGATAATTTCTTGTGTTTACTGATATTTCTCGTGCTAATTTTTGACTAATATCATTGTCCTATGGAAAAATATTTCCCGGGTTTTCTTTTAATTAATTTCATAGTGCTGCGGAGAATGATGTGCAGATAAAGAATGTCGTCCGCAACTCATGCCTTGGGGATGAGGCTTGTGGTGGGATGTATAGAGCTAATACCATGGCTTCTGCAATCGTCTCTTCCTTTCAGGTATGACTATACTCACAGGAAAACTTGGATTTGCACACATGAGAGCCATGTCTTTCTTGGCTTCTCAGTAAATGGTTTATTCAATGTCTTCCTTAGCTTCTCGTCTAATACAGTGCTTATTTTATGAAAGCTCTTCAGTCCCTGCTGAGACATTGTTACTTCGTAATCCTCTAGAATTAATACTTGAAAATATCTTCTAGAACTTATAAAAAAGGACTTGAAACTGCAAGACATTATTACTCCAAAATCTCTATGAAATGCTGTGTTACATCTAATTGCTATTGCATGGTGAGCTGAATTTTTTGTCATTTTCCATCTGAAAGATATAAATGAAAAGATTTGAAGATATACTTCATATTGCACTTTTATCAAGTCTGTTGGTTTGGAGTTAACTCTCGATGTTTTTCAGAAGGTCAGTGATGAGGTTTCGATTCTGGCTGATCTTAAGCCTAGTGGCAGTTATGTGCACAGGCTGTGTAGTTTACTAAATATCTCTTGTCGTAGTTTTGTGTTTCGGTAAACATTGCCTCTAATTGCATCTTGTCACACAATGATAGAATTGATATCAGTTGACAAGTTAATGAATAATTGTTATCATAGGTTGGCGGAACACCTTCAGTTATGGAGATTGGTTATTGGATGGTGATTTGTATAACTGGTAATTAAATGTGAATTCTATTGTGAGTTCTTCTATGAATTTGAGCTTCCAGTGTTTTCTTCTTTTGCTTTCTGATGCCTTCTTTCAAGTTGACATTGGAATTTTCCTTCCTTGTTATGGGGATCGCTCAAAATGCTGAAAGTTTCTCGCTTAACTAGTAGGGCAAATTTTTCAATTTCCAACCCCACTTCCCTCCCCTTCTTTCTAGAGGAAAAAAAGGGACTAAAAAAGAAAGAAAAAGCAGAAAAGAGAAAGAAGATTAGAGAATATTTTGACTATTTGCTTTGTTTTGATTTTGATAAGTGCTGTCTTTAAGAATAGAGAAGGTTAAAATTCCACAGATTCTCTCTGATGTACACCCAGGACATCATTAAACCTGTGACAAACCCCATCAAGGAGACATGCCATATACAAATATTACAAGGCTGGCTTGCACCATAAGGTTGCGTAGCAAAAATTACTGGGAAAGAAGGGTTATATCTGGCACTTATCTCCGCTGAAACTTTAGCATAATGGTCTGATTTTTGTCAAATTTAGTAAACTTCTTAAAGATGTGATGATTACAAAAGCTGGAATTCAGGTCCAGCACTTGTTTCTGGAGGGAGACGAATCTATGATTTCTGCCATCTCCAAGGATCATTTGAGTTTTAAGGTACTTTTGGCAGTTCACAATCTCGATATGTTTTATGGTCCTTATTTCTTCTGGAGTGACTATATCATATCCTGTGAACATTAAAGTAGATTTGTAGCAAGAGGACCATTTTTCAAATGACTTTCATGTTTCATTGGTGCTATTAGGCTTTCGGTCAATGTAACTTTTTATACAAATCGAGCCCTTGTATGCATAGCCTCTATTTGGGCTTGCTTTTCAATTTCATCATTGAATTAAAACTTGGTTCTGAATCATCCACGTCAGGCTTTGTTTTCCGCTGTAACTTCATTATGCTGTTACAAAAGCTTTTGTTTTGTTTGTCCACAATAGCCTGCTTCTTTCCTAACTGAAGTGGTACTTAAAACGCACATCATTCTGTTGCATTATTTTCTGACCAAGGAAACCTTGGTTCCCTTGTGGCTCTTGTGTGAAAACCTTACTTCACTGGCCTTAGAAACTGATGGTTCCTCCTCCAAGGCCCTTCTTCAGCTGTTATGAAGTTCCTATCCCAAGTACACAGCATTTTAGCGGGCTCTTCTTGTAAAAAGAATTTTTTTTTTGGAAGAAAAAAATTTATGCAGAATTATAGAGCTTGCTGAAGTTGGGAGGTAGAAGAATATGAAAACCTTCTCCAACTTCTAGCTACTGTCAAAATGGGTATTGAAGCTGATAAGTTAAGCTGGAAATGCAAGAATGGATCTTTTTCTGTTAAATCTCTCAACAGAAAGTTGATGGACAACAATTACTCTCTCTCTCTTTTTCCTTACAAAATCATCTAGAATATTTCTGTTCCTCCCAGAATTTTTGTCTTTGCTTGGGAAGCTGCTATGGATTCTTTTTTTACGTTAGACAACCTTTGAAAAGAGGTTTTTTTTTTTGGCAAACTAGTGTGCATTGTGCACGCAGTATATGGAGTCTTGCAACCATCTTCTCCTTTTGTGCCCAACGTCCTATGAACTATGGACAATGATTTACTCCTTTAGTGTTTCCTGGGTTATAGCTGGATCTGTCAAAGGCGAATTGTTAGCTTGGGAAGGCCTCAAAACGTGTAATAGGTGGCATAGGATTATTTCTTTAACAATCCTTTAGATTATATGGAAAAAAAGGGAATTGTAGCATTTTTTAGGGTAAAGAAAAAAATTTTGCCATTATTAAGGATAAGTGGCTTCATTTTTTTGGCTCCATCATCCTTGGTCATAACCCTAACTCTTTTGATGATTTAAGTTTCATTGTAAATATACTTACTGATCTGTAAATACTTAACATTTTGTACATGGATTTTGTCATCTTATCATTCTTTTTAATACTATTACTCACTTTTATCTCAAAAATGAAGATGCTCTCTCATTATAATTTTCTTTTGAGATAATTTAGTTATTTGTGCTGCTGTTGCTAATATGTTAGGCATTTGATAGAAAATGGTTTTGTGGAAGGTTAGAGCCGACCAAACAAAAGATTATGGTGGTCTACATGTGCAATTGGGGAAAACTGATTTTTCGATTATTATTGTCATGTTTCATGGCAAAGTGGTAGTAACAAGAGGAGAGAGGCCTAAGGGAGGGCCCAGGCACCCCTGAGATGTTAACACCAACAAGTGCAATAATGGGAGCTAATCTTGGAAAGGTATCTTAATGTTCTTTTTTCTTTAAGAATATTCTTTTAAAGAGGAAATGTATATTATGGTAATCGATGTTCTGATTTGGGATAAGTTATTTGTTGGAATTGGCTTGAACTTTCTATTTTCCTAACAAGAAGAATTGGCTTGAACTTAAAAAGAAAGAAGGAATAAAAACTTAAAAACCTTCCTTATTGTTAGGGATATAAGTGTTGTGCCCACAATTCAATTATGTGTAATATATTTAATACATTTTTATTTGATAATTTATTTTAATATATAATAATAATATTTTTATTATTATATTTATTACGTTATTGTTTAATTTATGTGATAAAGTTTTTGATTAAATTTATAAATTTTACATCAAGATGGAGATCTTGATAATGATAATAAAAATTTTTGTGATTTAATTTAAAATATTTTTACTCGTTAAATCATTAAAATAGGATATTAATGATTCGGTAAGCCTAATATATATGTGACTGTAATATACTAACTTGAAAATTATGCCTGAAATAATTTACTAATAATAATAATAATAAATTAAAACAATTTAATTTTAATTTTTATGAATTTTTGGAAGAAAATTTGTATTTTGGATGCATTTAAAAATATTTTCAAAAATTATAATCTAAGAAAAAATGAAGGAGAAATTATTTGAAAAGAAATCTAAAAAATTGGGATAAAAGTAAAAATAATGAAACTTTGGCCACATGGACTGCCACGTCAAAAGCACAGCTAGTCGTCGTGCGCCGCATGGTAAACACGCAGGCACGCGTCCACACGGAAAGCCATGTAGGCAATTTACATGTCAGCATATCCAACGGCTCAGATCTTCTCTCGTGCACATGGACGATCTAGATTCGTTTTTCCTTTAGGCGCGATCGAACGGTCCTGATTTCATTTAATCATGCTGTCCAAATTCATTCTTCATATAGGATTGATCCAAAAGCTGAGGATGGGCTACATCTCCTCGAATGGATGATCCGAATTTAATGAAAATAAGTATTTAAACTCCCCTTCCATAGGAAACCCTAACTCTAGCCGCCAATAGGAGATTGAAGAAGAAGAAGAGGGGTGGCTGGAAGCGAACCAGTTGTTGAAAAAAAAGACCAACTGTTATCGCCACTGCACCGAAGCCACCGCCGACACTGGAGAGGTATCTGTTTCTCCTTCTCGTTTGAAATTGGGGGGGGGGACCTACCCACATCCATATCGGAGCTAAAAAAGTTAAGAGGTAAAGCCAGAAAAATGTGAGCAAAGCTCGATCGAGACGTCGCAACCGCGACCCAAAATTCCTCCGATGAGCCCCTTC